AAAAACCGGTTTCAGAATAAGCTAATCTAACGGTGGTAAATTTGTTTGCAATAGCCCAATACATAATCCTACATGTACTTGCTAAATTTTGCACGCAAATTGTTACATTTGAGAATCGGACTGGGCATACGATGCAAAATAATCCGAGCATTGGTGCAAGAGGATTTTGGTGCAAGAGGCCTCAGGTCAAGTTAACTGACCAAGCCTAAAAAAAGTTTGCAATCATATCCAGCCTGCAGTGTTTATAAGAGAGCTTTTAAGTTTGGTGGATTGCATGATGTTATGGGCACCTATAACTTGTATATCTCGCGGATTTTTTTATGTCCGTGACCTAAGGCCAGGACAGTGGCGTGACCTTTCCATTAGGTATAAGTCAACGGATAAAAATGAAAATGCCTCTAGATCCGTTTGTACGCATAGGAACAGTCCAAATATTTCAGAATCACAATGATTTGGCCCACCCGTGACGACCAAGGTGTCTTTTTTGCTGATAGTCTCTAGAAAGGTAATCCGAGGTCATTTCAGGCTACAAACAGATTTTTGCCAATAACTCTCGATTGGAAAGAGATAGAACGCTGGAGATGGCTTCATTGTGTTTGTCTTGTCGAGACGCATCGAATGATATGTAACATGACCTATTTGGGTCACCACGTGACCTTGACCTGAGGTAAAAATTTGACCTTGACCTTTCCAGGTAAAAAAAAAAAATATTTCGAAGCGGCTGAAGGAGAGAAACTTGATATTGCCATTGCCAATTTTTCATCTTTACTGGTTCAAAAGTTATTCGTGAAAAAGTTTTATCCAAAAACAGCTATTTTAACAATATTTGAGCTATGGAGGCTTAACCGTTGACCTGAGGTCAATTTTGATAATGACCTCATCAAACAAAGAGTTCAAAAGCTATCGATTGCTTTTCCATGTGTTTTTCTAGCTATCATAGTTCTTGAGATAACTGCATGTTTTCTGAAAAATATAATGACATTTGGCAAATTTTGACCTTTGATGACCTCCAGTGACCCAAATATTGCTCTAAGATGAAAAATGACCGGAATACGTTCAAACGTACGCATTGAAAGCTATCGACTGATTTACTGCGTCTTTCTAACCCTCTTAGTTTTTGAGTTAGGGGTGGGTGGTAACATATGACCCCCCCCCCCCTCCACTAGGGCTGAGGAAGTTGGCTGAGACCGCCACTCAGGGCGCGGGTCAAGCTCACCAGAAATCCCAAGTTCATCACACCTTGCAAGGTGCGACGCTTCAGTTTTGAATGGCGGTCCCTCACTACGGTCGCTTGAGGTCATCGGAGTTTTTTCCGTTCATACCTAACGGCTAACCTTCGATCAAATAAAACTAGCGAGTCGGGCAAGCCACCAAAAGCGGACTCTGCCTTGGGACACTTGACCTGTCACCATTTAGAAGTCACCATCTGATATAAGACCTTAGCCCTATTCCGGGCGGGCTCTGAAAGGTTCAATTCTGGGTGGGGGCCTTTTCGCCCCCTCCCCTTCAGATTGAGATCTAAAATAAAACACACACACACATCCGAGCGACAAACGGCAAACGGTGTTTGATAGGTCATTCAAAGATCTATAACTTTTACATACGCCTTAACCCTCGCCGGACCTATTGGTTTTCTACATACGCGCCGGCCGAGGGGGGGGGGGGCGGGTACGACCCCCCCCTCGCTGTTTCGCCCCTGGTGGAGCTAGCGCGTCGCGGAAAAAACGAGCGTGTGCGCCGTTACGAGACGCAGAGATTGGTACCCGATTTTAAGGTCCTAGGTCAACCGGTGACCTCTGAGGTCAGGTCAAGGGCCCCAGGGTACGGTTCAGTTTTTGGTGAATAACTTCGCAAAAAACGGCCACAGAGCCCCGATTTTGGCAGCATCGTGCTCGCCTTGCTCAGGCGCGTCGAATGATATACTTTCTGTTCGGGTCAGGTCAACTTAGGGTGTTGACCTCAGGTCAAGGTCAGGTCAGCACCCCCAGGTCACGAAGTTGGTCGGAAGAGGTCATGTCGCATATCATTCGATTCGGCAGGTCTTCCTGAGTCCATTGGTGGCTTTCCCGACTCGCTAGCTCAATGTGATCGGGAGTTATTGACGAAAAACTAATATGACCTTGATGACGTCATAAATGACGTCACGGAAGGTCAACATTGCAAAAGTGACGCATCTTACCTTGCAAGGAGTGCATCAAATCACGATTCTGTGTGTTTGAGATAGTTGGAGATCGTTCCCGGCGCCAGAATAGCAGTTTGAATTTTTCCCCATTGACTTATAGGTAATGGTGAGGTCACGAAAATGACCTGACCTCATATGACCTTTAGGAAAAATCCGAGACATACAAGTTGTGACACTCATAATGGATACTAGATCCTGCAAGTTTCATTTCCCTGTGACATCTCCTCTGGCAGTGAGGGCGTTGCGAAGTTACGACATCTGAAGACCGTGCAGAGGCTCACTTATGACGTCATAGGTCAGTGACCTGACTTGACCCAAAAATGCGGTTGGTGTCAAAAGATGCGGCTTGGATCAAAGGTCAGGTATGCCAAGTTTCAGCTCTCTATCGCCAGCGTGTTCGGAGCTATCGCGAAAAAAACCCTATGGGGGGGGCGGCACCCGCCCCCCCCCCTCGGCCGGCGAGGGTTAATTCATTTTCGGAGCAAGTCAATATTGAGGTCACCAGAGGTCATCAACGATAAACTGTTTTGGAAATAGTTACTTATATAGGTAACTTTTGAACTAAGAAACATAGAGACATAAAAATAAAATAAATACATTTTTTGCTGGTCTCGTCGAGGCGATGCGAAATAAGTATGCGAAGACCTTCACATGTCAATTTGAAATTTGACCCGAGGTCAAGGTCAGGGCATTCACCAATGAGGCTGTGGGGTATGGTCATGCTGCATATCAAACGACGTACCCTGACCAGGCGAGCAGTTTGGTACCACTTACAAGTCTTTAGCGCCATTATGCCGTGATTTATTGAAAAAAAAAACGATTTATGACGTCACATGAACTCCGATGACCTTTCATGGTGCCCCTGTTAACAATTGGCACCTAGATCATCACTGATCAGATAATCTTCCACAATACTGAAAGAGTTGGGTCATAGACCCCTTTAACCCTATTAGTGGCAGGGGGGGGGGGTTGTTTTTATCCACCCCTCAGGTTTTTCGGGAATATCTCCGAAACCGCTGAAGCTACGATGCTGAAATTTTCTGACTTTTCCTAAAACTAAATTGGGCACATTCCCTGAAAATTTCAAGTTCATAACTTTACCAGGGGCGGCTCCAGAGCACTGGGAATTGGGGGGTCCTATTCGTGAAGCGAGTCATTTGGGCGAAGATCACGATGCTGCACCAGTTTTACGAACAGTGAATGAAAGGTATCATGTGATAACATATACAGTTATTGTGCATCCTCTTTTGACACGTTTTTGCTATAATAGGCGGATCCAGGCGTCCAAAAAGGGGGGTTATGTTTTACCTCCCAACATAGGTGCCCTGACACCGCCTATGCATGACCAATACCATTGTAGTCGTTCTCTCATAAGAAAATTGTAACATAACAAGACCATTACCACCATTTTTAGAAACAGTACCAACAAAAACCTTATTTACTATACTTTTTGTGTACCCCCAATCTCAATGATCTGTATCCGCCTATGATTTTTGAAAATGCATATTTTTGGGATCCATGTCAATTCCTGGTTCATTCTCTATCGATCGGCAAAAGTTGCGTTAAGATTGGTTCAGAAACCTGGCCGTGATAAACAGTCTAAAATGTATCTGCAATTTGCCCGTTTTTACCCCCCTCTATTGACATTTTTTAATTTTTATTTTTTAGAAATGTAGATCACGCTGAGCGAAATCGAACGCCGTTTGAATTTTGAAAATCGGCCCGTTAGATCTCGAGATATCAAGGGGGGGTCGTAAACAGCCCCCCCTGCCACTAATAGGGGGTAGCCTGGAGCCTGCCACTAATAGGGTTAAACAAGGGGTCTATGACCCCTTGTTGTTTAAAGGGGTCTATGGTTGGGTGGTTTTGACTCGTTACACGAAGTAGGAGACATTTCAATATTTTCCCACAGGCTTGCAATGTAGAGGTCACGAGTCTGGCCTAGATATGTAAATTCTGCCAGATATAAAAATTGCACCTACTGGTATATAATTAACTAAAACCTGAAGAGTGAAGAGAAACAATTGATCAGTCAAAAACTCTAGCTCTGGCGTGATTGCAAACTTTTCTGAGGTGGGTCAACAAGCCGCCTCTGGTGACTTGACCTCACCTGACCCGGCAACTTTTTTATCAAAATGTGCGCAATGAATGTTTCGGAAGTCACCGAGTATGAACGTTCAGTCTTGCGGCGTTTGGCAATGGCACAAGAAGAACCTAGGGGGGGGGGGGGGGCGAATAACCCTCCCCCGTCCGGAATAGGGTTAAAATTGGGCACCAGTCGCTATATCTCGTATCAACGCACACCATCGTTTTTTTCGCGAAGCTCTAGAAGTCTAGACCAATTAGGGGGGGGGGGCGGCGAGGAGGTCCCTCTCTACCGGGGAGGTAGAAAAGCGATAGATCCGGCGAGGGTTATTCTACGTGTTATCTTTTGGGTGCAGTAGGTATTAAATGTTTACTAATAGCCTCCGTGACCCATGAAAAAGTTAAAAAGGGTTGAGAACTTCTTAAAATAATCAGGAGACATGTTTTTTGTCACTATTGTCGGATGCGATTCCTTCTACGATTGTGAGCCAGCATTTTTCGATGATGCTGCGCGACATCCCATTGTTTCTCCAATCTCTGCGTGCTTCCGGCAGCGGAGGCACGGGGCTGCGCCTCCTACCCGCCGCGACGGCGCCCGCTCGCGGATTGACCCGAGGCGGCCGCCGACGGCCCTCCTGAGGCGGGGGATCGGCGGGGAGGGGGTCGACTGCCTGCGTAGTGCGTACCTGGCCGCTGCCAGCCGGCCGCTCATTGGTCGGCGCCCTCTGACGTCAGAGGCAAGAGTTGATCGATGCTGGCTGGCGGCCGAGCGACTAGTCGGGCCCGAGTCCCTAGCGCCGTTTGGTCGCCGCTGGTTGCCGGCGCGACGCGTGCGCCTATTTTTGAACGTCTATTTTCAGATTGTTGTATTTGACTCGATATTTTCGTTGAGTGGCCGCGTGAGAACGTGGAATTGCGTGAGAGCCACGGCATTGGGGCGCCACCGACCAGCGCCGGCTCCGGAAGACAGCAGCAGCGGCGCCGGACTTGTAGGCGCCACCACTCCGCAATCGACTGTCTTCACCGGGAGCCCAGTAAGTGTGCTACGTCTGTAGTCTGTGTCCGTCCGCCCCTGCGACAGGAGCTGCACGCCGCTCTCGGCAGCAGTGGTAGGAGTACTCCGCTGGGTACCAAGGTGAGACTCGCTCCCCGAGCGCGGCCCGGGGCCCGTGGGTGTGTGCGGAAAGTGCGGACCGCCGCCGCGCCGCGCCGGCCAGGCACCTGGAGCCCACATGCGCTGCCGCCCGCCCGACCGGCCCGGGCCGCGATCGGGACAAACAAGTGCCGCCCCACGCCTTCCGCGCCGCGGCTGCGGCAGACGCGAATCCCGGTCGGCGACCCCTGCCAACCCCAGCCGGACCCCGGCGGGCCAGTGGATGTGCCGCTCCTTGGCGGGGGACCGACCGACCGACTGGAGACGCCTTGCATCGGCCTGTCATTTGAGCCCACGGAAGGGGTGGTTTCGACGACTGGGACCCGGCTGGTGGGTTGGGGTCCTCGGCAGACCAGCCAAGACTGTCAGTGGTGGTGCAGAGACGGTACTTCGGCCACTTTCGGCGCTCTCATAGCATGCTGGGGAGAGCCGGTACCTTTCTGTAAGGGACACGACCGGCGGGATGGTACCGGTACCTTTCCTGTGAGGGGACAGAGAGACAGGCTGGGTGGTATAGTACCGACTGGCACTTTCTCTGTGAGGGCACAGAGACAGGCGTGCAGTACCTTTTCTTGTGGCAAAGGGACAAGCGGTACGATAACTTTCCTGTGAGGGGATACACTTCTTATAATGTGCATCGGTACCCTCCCTGTAGATACGTCACAGATTGAAACCACCTTCCTGTGCTGATGAGCAAGTGCAGGTGCTGCTTTTTCTCCTTGCTGAGAGTTACCGACGTTATCTCCCATGCGTGGGACCAGACGGTTCCTCTACTGCCCTGTGGAGATAAATGTCACCTGTTTGTGTGGTGACAGATATTCACACGGTAGGTACCCTCCCAGTGGGCAGTGAAGTACAGATTGATTCACAGATGGTCTCTCTCTCCTGTGTGCGTGTACCCTCCCCCAGGGACTGACTGTAACTCTCCCGTAGACGACAGGTGGTGCACTCCTGTTTGGAGACGGGCAATACCCTCCCTTCCCTCAGTGCGGCCAGGCATTACCCTCTCATTATCCTCCCGTGGGAGGGTGGAGGGTCACACGGTTCCTGCCTTTCTCTGAAGGGGCCGGACGCCTTCCACAATCCACACCGAGCGGACGTGAGTGGCAGGCGCGTATTGACCGGATCGCGATGTCAAGGTCGTATGGACGATGCTCGCCGTATATAAAGACGCTCCCGCTAAAGAGAGCGTTAAAGTTTCCAGTTTATCTTTTTTAAGCTCTGATAGCCAACTATTAAGAGCAGTCGGCTCGACCAGAATCTCCTACAGCTACTAGGAATAGACAGTAACAAAGCAAGTTCTACCAGATATGCCATGCGTGCTGGTACTAACCTTACCCACAGTAAAAAAAAAAAAAAACGGTGTAGGGATCAGCAGCCCGGAATAAATTTAGTTTGGTAGGTATGTCGAACTACTTTTAAGCTTAAAACAAAAACGTTAAAAACATCAAATAAAGTAAAATGAACTCGCACATGAACGCCAGCTCAGCCTGCGGCGCTGCTGCAGGTCGACCACACTCCGTGCCACAGGTTGCGGAACCAATCCTTGACCATTCGCACTACACGAGCCGCTATGGTGTCTTCCTGAAGCACTACTATGCTCTACGCACCGTGGAGTACGTTTGTGCGTAACTGGCGGGGCGGAAGGTCGCTAACGCAGTAGTGAAAAGTGAAAAGTCCATCGCCTCGGTGAGCAGCTCACAGCTGAGAGCAATAACATTACTCGCAGCCGCAGATGGACTGTTCTTTCAGTTACTGCGTGGAGGTGTCTTCTCGGAATGCGAAACTATGCCACGGGTGGGCGCGGCAAAATTACGCTTCACTGCTGATCGTTTCATACTCGACTAGTCCTCAGTTAAATCGATTACTTATCTCCCCATCGTTTAAAATGTTAGTTACTTCATATTTGATAATGGCTCTCTTCGGTGTAGACTATGGTCTTGTTGCCAGTCATTGACTTCGACTTCCCTGTGCCAAGCTTACTGAACAGCCGAGTGGACCAGGGTGGCATGAGGCGACGCGAGAGAAATGCACAGGCAGTAGGCACTGCTGTGGACAGCAGATCCTTGGCATGTCGATGCGTCAAAACATGAGGAACACGAGGAAGCTTTACTGCAAGTCAGTCCTCAGTATGACGAACCGGGATCGGCGGACGCAAAATTTCATCTCGTGGGCAAGTAATTACCGCAGTTACCGGAACCGCAACTGCTCCATTACGTCGATCAGTCCACGCGCAATATCTCCCGCATTGTCACGTGCATCAAGTGCTATGATATTCAGATTCACTTTCAAATGCACATTCGAAAAAACTCACCAAATGCAAAGTTTTGGCTACCATCGTGTAGCCAGGAAAGCCCTGATTCTGAAAATACATATCCCAATACATGACACTGAATAGTTAACGAGATATACCTGTTTTCCTTTTGAAGGTCATTCAAGGTCATATAGTGGCAGGTCATCAAAAAACTCACCAATATACACCAAAATTACAGGATATATAGTCCAAAGCAGCCTCCATCGAACGGTGGTAGTCACTATTCATGACACTTCTGCGTTTTTGGTACAGGGGCCATTTTTATTTTCAAATGCCTATCTCGCTAATGTTAACACTGCCTGACTTAACCCGCGCGGGGCTGGGGGGGGGGGTAAATTTTACCCCCCCTCGCGAATTTTTGCGATATCTCAAAAACGGCGGCGCGCAGCGCCGCCAAACTTTCAGTACCTTTTCTTACATCAATTTGACACGTTCCCTGAAAATTTGAGCGAAATCCGTCGGAAAATTTTTGAGAAATTGACGTTTTAGTGACGTCATGTTCGCCATTTTCGCCTCAAAAACGGCAAAAGTTCAAACGCCGCTAACATCTTCATTTTTAAAGGAATCAAGACGTAACAAAAAAGGTTATACGTAATTTTACTTTGTCTATCAAATGGCTATCTCGGTTTTTTGAAAATTTTGGATTTTGACCTAATTTTTTTCAAAAAACTGACTTTTTTGGGAAAATCATTATAAAATCCAAAATTTTGAGTCTATCAAAAAAACCGGAATATATGTCAGAGAAGTGGTCTATGTGCACCTACATACCAAATTTTAGAAGAATCGGTTCAAAAATGTGGGAGTTATTCAAAATTTTATGACGTCACGACACACAAAATTTTTGAAAAATGACTTTTTTGGAAGTTCTAGACCTCGTACGGAAACAAAAATAGCACCATTCGATTCGCCGTGAAAAACTGCATCAGATAGACACCTTTTTAGGCCTTAACAACCAACTTCAAAATTTGACCTCACTTGACCCGACCTTGACCTGACCTCGACCTGAAATTCATCCAGAGGTGGTCCATATCACTTATTGAGTGTGCCTATTGAATTCTATGAGTAAAATGACCCATAAAACATGTGTCGCACATGCCCTTTTTTATATTTTGTTTTTTGGTGACCTGACCTGACCTGACCTGACCTTGACCTTGACCTCTGAATGATATTGTATGCAACGAATATTGTCTTGGTAGCCTAAGAACACGTTTTGGGCGATCCGTCTCAGTCCATGACTCCATTCTTCGGCAACTACGGTGCAAGGCCGATACTGTAGAAACTTGCAATTTGTACCCTTGACCTGACCTTGACCTTGACCTCAAACTTTAAATTAAGTACATGTTTTTAGTAGTTCGTGACGAGAGCTTTCGATTGGCGTTTGAATTTTCCAAATCGGACCATTAGTTCGGGAGATAACAGGGGGGGTAAAATTTACCCCCCCCAGCCCCGCGCGTTCGGCTGGAGACCCCAGCCCCGCGCGGGTTAAAGGCCAATAACTCCCAAAGTACATCACCGTTCTCTTTCATCTTTTAATGACACGTTTGCAAGGCCCTAAGGCAGTTTTTGGTCAAGTGCCTACCCATGACGCCTTCTCAAGTCGTTTGTACGCGGGTTTGAAAATTTGATATTTTTGGTCATACGGCCAAAGTCAACAAAAAGAACTCACCAATATGCACAAAAATTACAGGGTATATAGTCCAAAGTGACCTCCATTGAATGGTGATAGTCTTTATTCATGACACTTTGCGCTTTTGGTACAGCGGCCACATTGATATTCAAATGCCTATCTCGCTAATGTTAACGCTGACTGACTTGGATGGGTATAACTCCAAAAGTACATCTTTGATCTTGTTAACCTTTTAGTGGCACGTTAGCAAGGCCCTGGGGCAGTTTTTGGTCAAGTGCCTACCCATGACGCCTTCTCAATACTTTTGTACGCGGGTTTCAAAATTTGATTTTTTGGTGATACGGCCAAAGTCAACAAAAAAGAACTCACCAATATGCACAAAAATTACGGCATATATAGTCCAAAGTGACCTCCATCGAATGGTGGTAGTCGCTGTTCATGACACTTCTGCGTTTTTGGTACAGCGGCCACATTGATATTCAAATGCCTATCTCGCTAATGTTAACGCTGACTGACTTGGATGGGTATAACTCCAAAAGTACATCTCCGATCTTGTTAAACACTTAGTGGCACGTTAGCAGGGCCCTGGGGCAGTTTTGGTCAAGTGTCTACCCATGACGCCTTCTCAAAACTTTTGTAGGCGGGTTTGAAAATTTCATTTTTTTGTTTTTACGGCCAAAGTCAACAAAAAAGAACTCACCAATATGCACAAAAATTACGGCATATATAGTCCAAAGTGACCTCCATCGAATGGTGGTAGTCCCTATTCATGACACTTCTGCGTTTTTGGTACAGCGGCCACATTTATATTCAAATGCCTATCTCGCTTATGTTGACACTGACTGACTTGGATGGGTATAACTCCAAAAGTACATCTCCGATCTTTTTAAACTTTTAGTGGCACGTTAGCAAGGCCCTGGGGCAGTTTTTGGTCAAGTGC